CGCCATGGCCAAGGCCAGCGTGGAGCTCACCCGCGAGCTGCAAGGTAGGAGGCTGCCTTGGTCTCCGGGACGCCCCGTCCGGGAGCATCCCAGACCAGTGCTTTCCTGCCCGCGGTCAGACCCAAGCCCGGCGCCTCCTGCCCCCTCATGCATCCTCGCTCCAAGGCAGACCCCTACTCCTGCATCCCAGCTCTGGCATCGCTGTCCCCGGAGCATCCTTCTCTGCCCCGCTCGCCTCACCCTACCAAGGACCTTCCTATCCTGGAGCCGCCCGTCCCGCTCTTGGGTGACAGGTGCAGTTCCTTTGCGCTTTCTGGGGCTGACGCTTAGCGTTCCTGACCCACCCCTCAGTGAGGTGTCCAGTGTCCCCTCCTTAGAGTCCTTGCTTTCCCCCACCCCCGCCGGGCGGGGCCAGGCCCGCCCCCGCCAGGCGATGGGAGCTGCCCCTGGTCCTGACCGCTGCTTGTCTTAACACCCTCCCTCTTCTCGGCCCCGCCCCGGAACTGACCCAGGAGAGAGCCCCCTAGATGCCTGGCATCGACCAGGCCAGCGGGGCAAAGAAGGGAGTCAGGAAAGAGGCTCTGGACTGAAGCTAAAATCAAAAGCAGGGTCCCTTCAGCTTACCTCCAACAGCCCCCTTCCCAACCTGCCCTCTTCTCATTACCCACCACCCACACTTCAAAGCCTCTTCTGGTTTCATAGGTTCTCATACTTCGCCCAAACCAAGGCCTGCCCCAACCCCCAGCAGTGCCACAACCCTGACCCCAGAGGCTGAGCACAGGCTAGCCCACGCAGAGAGCAGGAGCTCAAGGATGCTAAGAGCCATGATGCACTGTGGCGATTTCCCACAGATACCCTCACACACTGGATCACAATCATGAGATGTGTGTATACACATCTTTACAGAAACTGTACCTCCACCACACACATGTACCCCCACTGCACACGTGTACATATGCACACTATGGGATATCCGAATGGTTCTGCCAGCAAATGGGTATGTGGGTATGGGGCTCATTTAAACATTAAATCCTTCCCCCACCACCACCAACACACACATACATACACACACACACACACACACACACACACACACGAACTGTCTGGCACTGTGCCCTTTCACAGTAGCAAGCCAGCAGACTCATTCACACTTCTCTGTCCCTGCCAATGCCACACTCAGGCTCCCTGGCATTGTCAGAAGGCATACATACACAGTTGTAGTAAAGTCAGACTCCCACACCCAGACCACCTAGGATACAGTCAGGGGACACCCCCACACCCCCACATACTGACTCACTGTGTATGTGTTGATGGGCTGGAGAAATCCTTCACACCCTCAGAGGTGTAAGACATACCCTCCCACAGGCAGTGCCACTCAGCTACTGTCCCCTAACTCAGGGACATCAGGAGCCAGAGTTTTCTCCATTCTACATTCCCTCTCCAATAGGAAAAGTCACCCATGAAGGAAAAGTCTCTGTCCCATACTTCTTTGTCCCTGTTTCTCTCTCCTCTAATCTGCCCCTGCCTCTGCCTCTATCTGAACAACCCTGAGGGAGTGGGGGTGGCCAGGGTGAGGGGAGCTCTGAGCAGGCCCCCACCCATCTGCAGACAGCATCCGGAGGTGCCTGAGCCAAGGGGCTGTGCTCCAGCAACATCGAGTGAAGCTAGAGACAAAACCCAAGAAGTTTGAGGACCGAGTGCTGGTGAGGGCATTGATCTTGGTGGGGTGAAGGGAGTTGGTGAGAGCAACTGAGCTGTAGGGAGCTAGACAGGAGAGACAGAAATGGGAGAACAGCTGAGGAGATAAAGCCTGGGGGAGGGGCAGGGCGGGCTGGGCTGATGTCTAGGAACCTAAGGTAGGGCAGGAAAGAAAAGGAGACTCCAAGAGCAGAGTTGAGGAGGCTAAAGGAAAGCAGGATCACCAGGGCCCAGGCAGCTGCCATGAGCAGCTGATACTCTTCTCTGCAGGCCCTGACCTCCTGGCGCCTCCACCTCTTCCCCCTTAAAGTCCCTGCCAAGGTGAGTTGAGCAGAGAAGACTAGCATGCTCCCTTCTCAGCCTGGCAACAAGGTCCTAATCAGGAACTGAGCATCTCCATCCCTCCAGGTGGAGAGCTCCTTCAATGTCCTGGAGATCCGTGCCTTCAACACGCTCAGTCAGAACCAGGTGATCACCAGGGTTCTGCATCCCACTATTGGGCCAACTGGAGGAGGGAGTCAATATCTAAGGCTCTGCCGCTCCCTCCCCCCAGATCCTGGTGGAGACGGAGCGCGGCATGGTGAGCATGCGACTGCCATCAGCTGAGAGCGTGGACCAGGTGACGCGACATGTGAGCTCTGCCCTCTCCAAGGTCTGCCCTGGCCCTGGGTGAGTGGCAAACAAGGGGTATCTCAAAAGATTAGACAACAATGAAACTTAGACAACTAGACAACCTAGAAAAAGAGTGCTCATATTCCCCTCCTGCTTTTTCCTGGGGGTACAAAAGCTATAACGGGGGAAATAATTGAGAGCCTCTTTCGATCCCACTCTTGGATGATTTGTTCATTTTCCAGGTGTTTGATCCGACGTGGAAATGTGGACACACCTGAGGGCCCCCGAGACACATCCCCCAACTCTGAGACTTCAACATCTACCACCCATAGTGTGTGTGGTGAGCAGGGGCAAACACAAGGAATGTGGGATCCAGGTCACTCTGCCCCATGTCCAGAGCCCTTTGTGCATGGGATTTTGCCTTGAGGAGTCTTTGCCTGCCTTGATGTTCCCGGATTGCAGGAACTTCATGATGTAGCAGGAACCTAGGATACTAGCACATATGGTGACCTTGAACCCCAAGCTGTTTCACATCCCCTTGCCCTTCACAGAGCCAGTCCATCTCCTCTCCACAGGTGGCTTCTCCGAGACCTATGCTGCCCTGTGTGACTACAATGGGCTGCACTGCCGTGAGGAGGTGCAATGGGTGCGTTGAGCAGGGACTTAGCAGGGAGCCAGTGGGACCTGGAGGGAGGAGCAGATGAGGGGGTGGGGAGCAGGTGTGAGCTAGTTCCATCTCTCCAAGGATGTGGATACCATTTACCATGCTGAGGATAACCGCGAGTTCAATCTTCTGGATTTCAGCCACTTAGAGAGCCGGTAAGCAGTTGGGGCAGAGACTCAACCCCTAAATTCCCCACCTCTGTTCAACCCTGGCCCTTCCCAGGATCTCCTTTCTGGTCCCACCCAGCCCCTGCTCTATCTCCCCAACTCCACACTCCCAACTCCACTGCTATCTAGCCATCTTTCCCCATCATTGGTCTCTTCTTTCCTACCCCAGCCACCTACTTACCACTTCCTCCTCTCTTCACTATCCCCACAGAGATTTGGCCCTAATGGTGGCAGCCCTGGCCTACAACCAGTGGTTTACCAAACTCTACTGCAAAGACCTGCGGCTGGTAGGAAGTAGGAGAGAGGGGAGGGCAGGGGAGTGTCCTCCTTGGCTCCTGATCTTAGAACCTTTCTGTCCTCAGGGTTCAGAAGTTCTAGAACAGGTGCTACATACCCTGAGCAAGTCGGGGAGCCTGGAAGAGCTAGTGCTGGACAATGCTGGACTTAAGACGTGAGGCCAGCTTCCTCTGTGGGCAGTGGTATCCCCTTCATGTAGTCTTAAGAGTTCTAAAACCTCAGAGCATGGGGTCCCTGAACTATCTCATCCAGCTCCTCACTTTCCAAAGAGGAAGGAAGCTGAGACCCAAAGAGGGCACAAAGCAAGTTAGTGATCAAGCTGGAACTCAGACCTCAGGCTCCCAATGCCCAAATTCATTGGCCTTTCCCTAGTTCTTGCCATACCTTATCCCTGTTTTCCATCAAATGCCAAGCAGGGTGGCAGTCTTGACGACTCAAAGCTGGGCTTTGTCTCAGCACAACTTCCTAAGGTGTGGCATGCCCTCAGGTACTCCAGAGAGGTGACAAGGTCCCTGGCAGGCCCCAAGCTGCTCCCCTGTTCTGAGGGCCTCTGACCATTGCAGCGCCAGCCAGACAGGCAGGTAGAGGAGGAGGGGAAGCCCACGGGTTGGGACCTGGGGCTCAGCTCCGGACAAATCCTTCCTCCC